CACGACCGCAGTTACAATTATAGCCACGAATTGATGCATTGGTGGTTAATTTCTTTGCTTTTAGGCTTTCAGTTTCGCTTTATTTATATAGACAGGACGAGCGTATCATTTTTCGATACGATTAATCTTAAAAAAAAACATATTGACATGCATTGAATATCCCAAATTTTTTCGTCCTCCTTCTTCCTCAGCTTGCCTTTTTCGTTAAAGATAGATACAAATCAGTTAAAGTAATTTTAGTTGCATTTCTTTTGTTATATTAGGTAATATCAAAGATCTGGATTTTATAGAAAATACAAAGGCATTATAAAATTTTGCAGTACATCACTGATATTCAAAGTTTGTTCTTTTTGGCGGAATCCTAAGTTCCACGACATAGGATAATCGGTGTCAAGAAGTAATTTGGCATTTCTCAAATTTAATAAAAACTTATAATAAGCTCTGTTAGGTTTTTTTTTCAAAAATTGCACTGCTGTGGACAATTTGAAAAAAACGTTCTTGGCGTTTCGGTTGTTCATAAATCAAACTTGCTGATGTTTCGCCTATGGCTTTATCAGAATATAACCAAAACTTGCGGTCAATAGAATGATTAGCGAAACGTCAGCAAGTAAATAGTATTAAATAATAGTTGGATAATTTCTAATTTAATATTTTATCGCAAATAAGTAACCCGATCTGATCGTAGGACGAATGTAGCTCGTAGAAAATATAATTGTAGTGTTTTTTGCTCCACCTAACCAATGCTAACCATAACTCTTATGGGGGGTTCTGTTCATTTTGGCGATTGGGGTTCTATTGATTTTAGCGATTAGCGACATAGGTCTTTAGATAAGCTGTAAGAAGGTACGAAATTACTGAAGATAACGGATTCCCGTCTAATGATAAATACCAGGTTCGCAATATCCCAAAATCAATGCCATTACTGAAAATTTATAACTGAATATATAATTTTCAAAAATTGAGAGCTAAATGAAACATCTGGTTCTATACTTAGTTTCCTAATTTCTAGTAAGAAAATGTAAATTTGCAAGACCTACACGGAACTGCCTAACTGCAATCTTCAAACACATCAACATTTATGTCCTCATGATAGTCTCCAAACGGGTTTGATTGAAATGCAACCAACTACAAATCCATGTTTGCTACCATTGTGAGTAATTCGTCTTTCGAGGGTGCTTTTATTCCAGTGGGACAAATTTTCATCCTGTCATGTTTTACCAACGGCATATCTTTCAATTATTGGTCCAGAAGATAGATGTTCATGTTTTCAATTCCAAACTGGTTAACTGTTCTCAAATATCGATGTGGCTGGCAGAAAATTTCATCTATGTCGATTAAAAGTGATTTTCCGTTTTCAGTTTTTTTTTATTTCAGACATAATTTTTCCCAAGGCATTATTCTTTTGGTGGCAGTGTTTTCATCCTCATTTATTACAGTTTCTTTTCTTCCTGTCTTCTTCTTCTATTTGGTGGGGCCGCGTTTGTCCTCATGCACAAGAATATTGTTCCAACTCCGTTTCGAACACGTTTCAACTATTTTTGCAACTCCGAACAGCTGAATAACAATTTTATTAGTTTTAGGAAGGATAAAATTGGTTAGTATTTTCAAAAAACGGGTTGATGTAACATGTAAGGTGCTCTATCAATCACTAAGATATGTTCATGTATGCAGTGTTGCCGCTTCTACATAAACATGGATCTTGCTTTGTTTAAATGGCATTCCCTGTATATCATTTAATTTTTAGATTCTACTCATGAAATAAAGTAGACTTTTTTAGGTTTGCACATAAAAATGATTTTCTAGATTTTTAACCAATTGAAGAAATCTTACTAGTTCCATTCATTAATTAGACAGAAAGCCGAACTTTTATAGACAGTTCCTGCAAGGCCACAGGCAATCATTCCTTGCATACCATTTTAGGTGGAACATGCAGGGTATTTCAAAAATTATATTCAGCAGTTCTAGAAAATAGGCTTATAAGATTTTTTTTAATTTTATTTCAATTTCCCATTCTAGGAAAGAAACTTGCCCAATGTTGTCCAAGTTTTGTTACCTTCTTCGCATTAAGAAACAGATCATTAAATAACTGTCGTAATGGACTTTCTGAATTTAATAAATGGAAAGGAGACACATGATTCCACACTTTTGACCCAGTATAATTCAACAAGCTCACGACATTGGAGATCCAATGCTTGATCGTCTACTTAAACAATACTACAATATTTCAGAACAAATTTTTAAATGACTTAACTCTCACTTATTAGCAAACGGAGCACAGATGAAAACTACCAGTAGCTGTGTCGAAATTTGTTAAAAAAAAAGTGGTATAGTCATAGAAAATGTTATACGAAAAGATTTTTGATTGTTGAATACTTTGTTAGACGGGATGGTGCACATTAAGTGGTTTGTAAAGCAATTATTGTTTGTGAATATTGAGTTTTATACATTTAATGTTGGATGGGCACTCAACCTTTCACTGGCATTTCTTTGGTTATTTTTAAACGTGTTCTCTTTGTGGGTGAAAATAATTACAAACGTACAAAATCTGTGTGTGTCCGGCAAACACACGCTTTAAAAAATGATAAAGCAATGCCTTAAAAATATGTAATATGAAACAATGTTAACCTTGTATCAAAATAGGCGACCTAATTAGGAAATTTCAATCAGCGTAATTGAAACACACCCAGAAGACCTAAGCTCAATTGCTTAAAGATACTGAAAAAACAAAGTACCCAACACACGTCAGTCAACAATTTAATGAATTCACACGTTATTTATATCTATTGTTATAATCATGATGGGTATCGTCTTTGTGATTACAAAACCAGGCTAGCTTGAAATTATTTGCCGCCTTCAGTTTAACCGTCAGTTATCAGGACAGTTTTAGTAGTATATTATGCAACAAGTGCCGTAAACGCCATTTGACTCACGAGTTTATTTGACACGACCGGAGAGAGTGTTTAATAAACGAGTGTTGCATACCATACTTTTTCTACGACCATTAGTTTTTGGGAACATTTTCGTAAAACAACACGAATACATTCACTGACATGACCGTCAGAATTGACAAATGTCAAAATTCAAAACGTGGGGAATATCTCCGTAAACGTTTAACATTTTTATGTCCAGGAAACATATTATATTAAGAGAAATTTGAGTTAGCCGGTCACTTAAAGAGTCCTCCCACAAAAGTACAAAAAACTAAAGATATATAAAAATTACATGTAAGAAAGAATCTCATTACTCTCGAGAAATTTTTTTTTTTCGTTTAGTTTGAAATATTTTGCAACATGTTATTTGCTACAAATAACATGTTGAAATTTTTGTTCAATGGTCACTTGTTGAAAAATTCAACACCCAAAATCAAAGACCAAGAACGAAAACATTTTTTTTTATAATTTTCAATTATCATGTGTTCCCTTGATAATGTTATCTAGGAATACCGATCAATAGGTCGAATTTCAAGATATTTTGGACAATGTGTATTTGTGTATTAATAACAAAAATATAATTCACGCCGGTTACGCCGTGCTTATCAATTTCAATTGGTCGACATACGCGATGATTTGATAACAAGTTCACTTATAATGACATTTTTTTTCTGCAACGTAATATTATTTATGATTTAAGAAAACAAAATAGCAGATGCTAAACATATTCTATACCTAAAAGTTTCATTATTCGCTACTAATAATATAATTGTGGGATTCCACAGTGTCCTGGAACCCAAACGAGTGTGACGTGATTTGCCTTAGTAAGCCTGTCTCAAGCATCTCAATGCAATCTTGCACGATGCTTGAGGTGATTTTTACTGACATGAGAGACCTGAGGCCTGCCGGCTGTCGCCACAGATATATATGTGTTTGGTCCTGTAATTTAGGCCGACAATATGTCTGGCACAGGCTGAAATCGCATAAATTTCTGCTTGGAAGATGGTGGTCATGTGTCCCAGTTTTAGAGTTATTATAGCATTTCTATTTGATCAATATTGTTTTCAACATTTATTGAATATTATGCTTCAAAAAATATTAGTTTATCGTCTCCATTTGCTCAAGTCCATGCAACATATCATAGTTTCGCTAGTAGAAATTTGAGTTTCTCACTTGCTTAAAAGGCCCTCCCACTAAATCACACATCAAAAATGAAATAATATTTTGTACAGTTCATATTCTTCTTCCTGTGTGTCCTTGATAATATATAATATTAAATTAACAGACGGCAATAGGTCGAATTTCAAGATATTATATTTTCAAAAACGACTCGCCATAATGGTATTGTTGACTCTGACCTGATTTCCAATTTTGAAACACATATTACCACTTGCTGCGTTTACAAAACATAAATTTGGTGGCATTTGAAACAAAATTTAAGATATGAAGTCAACGACAATTCTTTTGACTAATAATCCCAATTTTTACAATCAATTTTTAATATAATAATTACAATATTTAATAGCAGTTCATTTTGAATTGAAACGATGAATAAGAGTAAACATAACTATGAAACTCAAATACGCGTCTAAAGCGATGCTACAATTTCTACTTGTTTTTATAAAAATGAGAAAAAACGCTTTCTTTTATTTATTAAATTTATTCGTCCTGTATTCGGAACAGCATTAAGGATTGTAGTTGGTGTAATACGAGTCCAACGTACGCTTCGTAATTAACTACAAAATTCAGTTACTTAAAGTGAAACGGTCAGCAGACCTTTTTCTGGGTGACAACTTTACTTGTCAGGATACTTCACCAAAAATTTCAAAATCTGAATTTCCATATATACTCCAGCTCTCTTGGAAAAGGTAGCGTAGACCAAAAAATTTTGACAGCTACATCTGAGGCTTATCTCTCCTATATCTGTCTCAGCTCTTTAAATATTTTCTAATAGACCATCGAGTATGTACTAGTATTCCAATTTCAATTTCGTCTAAATGTTCGTTATATGCGAAACCGAAAATGCGCCGCGACAAATAAAAAACATTTTGCTAAATGAATTTATTCGCTCTTATAAAATTAACACTACTCATGAAAACAAATATAACTTTAAGACAAAATGACGTAGCTGATTCAGAATCCCCTAAACGGTTGCTGCCCGTAATTGTAGTAAACATAGTCCCACATTGCCATTTCTTTTTGCTTTTTGCCGGGTTTTATTTCTAGAGTATCGTTTATGTTCAGGTACGGGATAATCGACCCGGAAACTTGAGGCCAAGTTATGTTGAGCACAGGATCTGACGGATCCGGAGTCGGATTCCTAAAATAGATGGTTTTCACATTCGAGCATTAAGCCAAATTGACTTCTTACAAAGTTTTCGCGAAATTGGCCCAAAGTCTGGTCATTCTACTTCTGGTTCGGAATTCTTCGTACGAAGTCAGCGGAAAATCTTGCATATCAAAAAGGTAGAATATGTCTTCGCCATGACCGGTTTTTCCGGCGCCTGCAATTCAACCTATAATGTTACGCTTTACGTTTGATTAGGCTAAGTACCTTCTACAATAGTGGGATGAAGAATTTCGTTGTTACCGCTGAAGGAAAGCTCATAAAAATATACGGGTGTATAGCTGGACTGAACTTCAGCTTGCTTCAGGGACGATTTCACAAACATATAATCGCTAGTGTACTGAAAAGATCATTTGGTCGTTATTTCCAGTCAAAACTACATTTCGAAATACTAACCTCAATAAATCCAGCGAGATCTGCAAGAAACGGTAAATCGCCAGTGTACGCTTTTTTTATCAAAGCTACTACTTCGTCTTGTTCAGCAGAAGTAAGAGGTCCCAGATTTGGAGGTACAACTGTTGACGGAACCGTATCGTGCAATAGAGCACTCAAAAGAAGCAGTCCGCGTGTTTCTAAAACAGTATGGGTGAGATGACTGGCTGATTTTTGATTTTTTCACCTACGAGCTACAAAAGGAAGTGATTCCGCTGAATTGGTACCGATTATCACAGGAACTTGGTTGAAATTGCCTGTTTCCAAAATCCCGAAGCTAAGATCCGTGATGTAGGCGTCTGCGTCTGGTACTTCGATTACCGGTCCGGTCTGAAACACACAGGGAAAAAATAATTGGATTGGAAATTGCAAACCTTCCATAAATAAACTTTTTTATCGGAGGATATATACTAACTTGAGGATTCGCTTGGAATGCCTCCACCAATGTATCGGCCGGAAGACTTTGCAGGAAATCTCTGACTTCCTCGGTTGTACTCGTCGCCGAAATGAGTGGATTTACAGATCTTGCAATATCGTAAGCTGCTTTCCTAGGACTGTCTGGCTGAGTCTGAGTTAAGTTCGCTAAAGAACAACCACTCTGGCATATCGCCGCCCTGTACAGTCCCTCCGATTTTTTGTTAGCAATGTGGACACCAACGGACATACCGCCGGCACTTTCTCCAAATATGGTAACTTTTTCGGGATCGCCACCGAAATATTCGATGTTTTTCTGCGTCCATTGCATAGCTAGCAGCTGGTCTTTAATTCCGGCGTTACCCAAAACTACGCTGTCCTCGGTAGATAGAAAACCAAATATTCCTAAACGATAGTTGGCCGTAACCAATATGACATCTTCGTTAACAAGGGGATATGGTCCGAAAATTAGATCTGAGGCGCACCCGCCTGAGAATCCTCCCCCATATATAAAGAACATGACTGGCAATTTTTCCGTAATCTAAGAACAATGTTAATGTAAAATGACGCTTTTCGCTCCTTAGCATCTCTGATTGAGTTCATTAAATATGATAGCTTGACTATTTATACTACTGAAATTATCAAACTTACGTTACGTGCAGGAGTAAAAACATTAATAAATAGACAATCTTCGCTCACATCATCTCCATTTGCACCAACAGACATCGGTATGCAACAGCTTTTTGTTGCCGTTGCATTTAAGACTCCTTCCCATGGCTCGTTCGGTACGGGGGCCTGCAATATACAATTAGCAAAATATGCTGGGTCCTATTTTAATATTCTTGCCTGGAAACGCAGTTCTCCTAGTGGAGGTGCTGCGAATGGAATTCCCCGATAAGCGTAGTAACTGTAATTTTCGGCTTTGATTTCAGAGCCGCGAATACTGCCGTCCGGAAGGTCGACCACTAGATCTGCGCACTGTAGACAAACATAAACAATTAAAGTACAAATGCTTATACTTAGGGTTGTTGTCTTACCACGGATGCAGCAAAAAAGGCAACTGCAGCCACGAATCGATGCATTGCTAATTTCGTTGTTTTGAGGTTTCGTTTTCATTTGATTTATATAGAAATTACCAACACTTCATTCTCGATATCAGGCATATCTGATATTGATTCAACGAAATATTCGAGAGAGGTAAACGCATTTTTTTTTCGTATCTTAATGAAACCAATTAATTTTTTCGAAAATTTGGCATTTTTGTTAGTTTGATTCTTTGAACTTTTCGTAATTCCTGCTCTTTTGAACTACACGAAATCAGGTGGAAAGCTTTCAATTAATATGATAAATTCATTCTAAAAATGAAGAAAAGCAAAACGAAAAATAGATCTTCGCCAGACACAGTAAAGTCAAATTTGGATAAAGAAAATGAATCGTGTTTTTCACAAATGCTAAAAAAATTAGAACCGCGAAGGATAACAAATTCGTTTTGAATTATTTATCACTCATCTCATTGTTTTAACAAATTTCCGAAATACCAAAATGTTTGTAAACATGGACTTCTGAAACCAGTCCACAATCTATGTCCTGCAGTTTATTTGAAAACGAAATCTATGGTTGAAAATGTTCTTTTCTTGCTATAAATAATTAGTATTAAGGGAAAAAAACATGGTTTCGCTTTACACACACACACACACACACACACATATACATATATATATATATATATATATATATGTATATATATATATATATATATATATATATATATATATATATATATATATATATATATATATATATATATATATATATATATATATATATATATATATATATATATATATATATATATATATATATATATATATATATATATATATATATATATACATACATATATATATATATATATATATATATATATATATATATATATATATATATATATATATATATATATATATATATATATATATATATATATATATATATATATATATATATATATATATATATATATATATATATATGCATAGAATTCGATGGTATCCCAAACGATTTTCCTAGTTTCCTATCTATTGGTGAAACTTTTATTGATTGATTTTATATTTTTAGAGAACTTAGCTATTTCGAAAATATTTACCTGTTGAATTTTCTAATTAGTAAATTCAAAGGAAATGCAAGAGTCGTGATCAATCTTCAAACATCCAGTACTTATTATCACGAGAGCAAAACTAATCATCGCGGTATAGACGAAACGGAAATAAAAATCAAAGCGCGATATTATTGGCCAAATCTCAAAAAATCAATAGAAAACTATATCAATCAATGCGAAATTTGCCAAAGAACCAAATACGAAAGGCATCCAGTAAACATCAAAATGAATATAACGCCGACCGTATCTTTTGAAATCATATTTTTAGATACATACGCTTTAGAACAAACCAAATTTTGAACTATATGTGATAGCTTTTCAAAATATGCGCAAACCTATTGTTTAAAATCTGCCGCAGCTACCGAGATAGCTGATAACTTAATAAACTTTTTCTTTCGCCACAGTAGACCAAAACAAATAATTGTTGATAATAGTACCGAGTTTAAAAATACAGTTATTGCATACAAAAAATAAAAATTCATTTTTGCTCGCCCCACCATCCGCAATCAAACGGCAATGTCGAGCGACTTTATTTTATGTTAGCCGACCACATTCGATTAAAAAAATTCGATTAAAAAAAAATTAAAACCCATTGACATAATAAATGGTCATATAACTTCTGATGACCCCTTTGATCAAAAACTGGATCAGTTACTATTAGCTAATTACGTAAGTGAACATAAAGAAAAATCAAAATTACTATATTCAAAAATCTAATCGAAAATAAAACAAAAATAATTGAAAAACGAAATGAAACTCGTGACAGTCCGGACCAGAGCGACGTACGGTAGCAACAGATACGCAAGCAAAATTACTTATGGACAATCTAAAAAAACCGCTTACAAACACGTACAGTTTAAATTTCGTTAACACTAGGTTTTACATTTAAGCCACCTGGGATATTACAATGATAGTCAGAATTATATTAAACTTCTAAACATTTTGGAATCTAGGATTCAAAATAAAATTGTAGAAATCCTTCCCTCATCAATAAAGATCTAAGAGAGGACTAAAGGTCTATTCGTCTGCACCCAACAAGAAATCAAGAATAACGATAACAGCAGTCCTTGCGAAATAGCCTTGTTGAGCAAAAATCCATAACTCACAAATTGCCACAAAACACACCTCAAAATCACCCAGCTAATAATTAATCAACTAGAAAATTCCAATCAATGGATTTTAGTAGTCCCAGATGTATAGAGCGTTAAACTTAAATGCAACGGTCAGGATGAGATTCAGAATCTTCATGGGACATACCAAGCCAAAATTCGAAGAGGATGCCTCGTCAAAATTGATCATCAAACAATAATTAGTGATGTCAGATCAATCAACCTTAGTACTCAGCCAATATTATTTCCTGATCTGCCAGATATTCCAACACAACAAAGCCAGATGGATTTAACTCTCAAATTTAATGAAGTTAAGTTAGATGAACTAAACCTTTTAAGGGATGAAATTCAGTTCAATTACCGACTTCTGAAGTTCTCGGAGTTTTACAAATATCCGAGCATATGGACCATCCTTGCACACATGGTCATAATTAGTTTGTGTCTATGTATATGCTATAGAAGATTGTTACGGCCAAGATGCACCAAATCCAGCAAGAAAAAGCAGTAAGAAGTCGAAGAACCTAAATATCCTAAATACCCCTCTTGACGGTATAGTTGAAGCTTACGGGGGAGGAGTTATCTCACTAGCGAAGATCCAAGAACGCTGGCATAGCAGAGTCCTATTTCTACATATAAAAATATAGTTTAACGATATTGACGGGGAGTTTTGTCTAGATATGTTATTGTAACAGACAATTTTAAACGGTTGTAAATTTAAATAAAGTTTTTTAAAAAAGGCAACGGTCGCCCCGAGTAGTTAATTCGCTTTTAATTAGTTATGAATTTTTTTGTATGTTGAAAATAAAATATTCACCAAAGAATTGTTATAAAATTATTTCCAAGGAAATAGACGAAGGTACGAAAAAATAATGGTCGACTTTACTGATAAAAATAAAAGTATAAAAGTATGATAAATATAAATATATACAGTGCGCGCAAATTTAAATATACGTCAATTAAGATAAATAATATGCCAAAGAAAGTAAACATGTCTCTAAACTTTTAACCTAAGTATGCATTATCATATCATTATCTACTGTTCCCAATGCAATGTATATAATAGCAAATTTGTGCCTAGTAACAGACACCAATAAATAAATAAACCAATTTTTACATGTGATTCATACGTACTTCCTTTGCAACAAGTCAAGACTCTACCTGCTTGTTAAATAAATGCATTTTAAAAACAGCTTTGAATTTTTCAGCATTGTGATTTATTAAACCACCTGACAAAAGTATAACTTTCGTTGAAAGTAAAACTGTTTCTTGATGCTGCTGTTTTGTGCATGGGTATTAATAATTTTAATTTATTACTGGTATCTCTGGTATCCATATCAGAGATCAGCTTAAATTTATTTTTAAAACTTTCTAAAATTAGAAAAACGCTTTTTGCTAAACAATGTACCAAACAACCCTAATGAGAAGTCCTTCAATAAAAATCTTCAACCACTGAATTTTACTTATTTTATGTGGTATATGATCCGATTTTCTTAAATTAAGTATCAAACTAAAGAACTATTCTGCACCTTTTGAATGGGATAATGCACCGATAGCCGAAGACCGGTCGTAAATAAAGCTTGAATAATCAAAATGAGAATACTATAGCCTCGGCCACTAAATGGTTAATTGTGGCCGTCAATACTGAAATTTTATATTTGTCTTCTTTTCAAATCGCAGTGATTTAAATTTCGAGGCAATCAGTTCTAGCTCATGTTGCTCAGAAAGATCCATTAATAGATTTAAATCAAAATCCACCAAAGGTTTGCACCTTGCCTGAGGTGCTCCTTGCCTCAGACGCTCTGAAGCGTAGATAAAAAATAAATAGAGGACTAAATATAGAGCCCCGCGACACCCTAGAAAGCACATTGCTGAACACTAGACTCCAAAAAACACTACCCGCCATATCTACAATACCCACCATACCCACAAAAATAAGATTTGACAAAATTTACTGAACCATTCTCAAATCCATAATTCCTAAGGATAATAAAAAACGGTGGTCAGTTGTACTAAATGCCTTTGAGAAATCATACAATACAAGAAAGTCTCGAAACCGCGATCATGGGCCTGAATAACATCATCAGTAAGGTGAAGCCCTATTAACATCTGAAATTATTTAGTGTAATCGGAACTACTCCCCTCCGCGATTTGGCCAATAAGATACGAAAATAGATCCTTCAGCAGAAATCTGACGGGTAATATGTCTACTATGAAAAATTAAATCAACTTACTCTAAGGTAGATAAAATAATATGGAAACACTAAAATTAGAAAGTATTAAGGTTGGAATTGATCTGGATGCTATCCAGCAGCACGGGCGATAAAAAAATATTGAAAGCAGGGGAATTTCCTTAAAGACAAATGAAAATCTGCCTAATGTCGGGGAATGTGTGAAAGAATAAACTTTCGGTGCAATCTTTCTGAAAGAAACATACCAGGTTTTCCCTTTTGCAGCACCTTCCTACTACGGCGGTAGTTGTTGGCTTTTTCAAGCCAAATACCAAGAATTGATTCAAGAAAATCGAAAATCTTGAAAGATCAAAAGTTTATGTCAGTGGCACGTTTCATTATCATTGGTATACCTTTAATGACATATGAATGAAGTAGCTACACCAATATATTTTACTGTTTGATATTCTTGCTGTTGGTGAGAAGCATTTTTTGAATACCCAATAAAATTTAACATTGAAACAAAATTTCGTTGCTAAGAGTATCAAAAGCTTTCGAGTAGTCTAAAAGGGTTAATAGTGTAAACTTGCATTCTTCTGTAGCCCTAGATATATCATCTGTTATATGTAGTAGAGCTGCAGTGCAGCTATGCCGATATCCTGATTGGTTAACGGG